ATAGTTTCAGCATTCCTGAAAAGTCCAAGTCCCAAGACTCCTCCAAGATCTAAGATAAACTTTTAGCTATGAGCCCCTATACAAATGAAAAGTTAAACACTTCCAATATTCAATGGCACAAGAAAAACAGTACCATTCCAAAAGATACACACAGCAGGATAGTAAGCATTGGGACCAAAGCAAGTCCAAAATCCAGAAGAGAAACATTAAGTCCTTTAGTACCACGTGGAAGATCTGAAGCAATCTGTAGCTTTCACCTCAAAGCAAAGTCTTTCACTTTTGCAGTTTTGAGACTGCAAAAGGTGGAGTCCTGCTCCTTGTTTTGGTGTCCTCAGGCCATCTTTCTATTCTCCTGTTCCTTCTCTGCAGTGGAGCTCTCAGCTCTATCTTTGCAGTCCATAGCTTCACTGGAACTTCCTTTGTAGCTAAACTCACAACATTTGAAATCATCCTGTTGGCTTCTTTGCTCTTGATTCTCAACATAAATCTGACGAAAAGCCCCCAACAATAGTCATGCCATTGCCTCAACATTCAACTGTCTTGAAATTTCTTCTGCCTGATTAATCAGTCTGCCAGCTTAATCTCAGTCTCAAGCAAAATCTCTGGACATGAACAAAATGCAGACAAACTTTCTGTCAAGCCATAACACACATCATCTGGAGTCCCAACAACCAATGCACTTCTTGTTCCTAGAAGAAATCTCCCCAGTGTGGTCTTTACAGGTAGGATTTGACAGCCTTCTGGACTTTTGAGCTCTGGCCAGTATCTCCCACAGAGTAGTTGAAGGTGTTCTACTGCTTCTCTTGAACATCTCCAAGCTTTTCCTCTCTCCTCTCATATGCTATTCCCAAAGGCCCTTGAACCACATGGTCAGGTGTAGTCACAGCAGTGACCCCACTTCTTGGTACCCAGTTTTGTCTCAGTTTTTTCTTGTTGCTTGGACAAAATACAGGAAACTCAAAATGAAGGAAGGAAGAGTTTATTTAACTCACAGTTTGTGGAGGTTTTAGTCCATGCTTGGCTAGTTCTAAGGCAGAGTGTCACTTGGCAGAGGGCAGCTGTTCCTGACAGAGGAAAACAACAAAGAGCAAAGGGAGGAGCAGCAGCTGTTGCAGCTGCAAGCCTCTCTCTATTCCTTATATTGTATTCAGGCTATCAGCCTCAGGGTGGGTGTAGCACTCAAACCTGTAATCCCAGCATTGGATGATGAATTAATCACAAACTCTAGAAGCCTGTCCCCGTGACTGCATGAGGCTTTGGGATGAGGGTGGGGCAGGTGGGCGGGTGGGACAAGTAGGTTGAAATTATAACAAAGGCCAAGAAAAACAAGAGAGAATTTCTGGGAAGGGTTAAATAGTAACATTGTATAAGAGCTTTGTACTATCTCATTGGTAGGTTTTCACCCTCATGGTCACCTTTGACTTTGGGATGCGTGTGGGAGTAGATCTCATTTGTTATGTTATTCCAGCAGATGGATTCCCAGATGTATTCTTACATAGTTTCCATATAAGAAAAAACCTTGAAACCATGATATATTGTATTTCTTTTTTTTTTTTTTTTGTTCCTCGAATGCCTTCAGGGCACTTTTGGCCAGCGGGAGAGTTGTGAGGTTCGAACTCCAGCAACCTGAGGCTGACAGCTTTGTGGAAGCAGCCACCTAAAGGACTGAGCTAGGGCCAGGCCCCCTTGTATTTCTTTTTTAAAAAGTTTATTGATACATTTTTGATATACATGAAGATCATATTCATTGTAAGAAATTTGTACCTGTATAATATATATTTTCTTTTTTCTGAATCCCCTCCTATCTCTTCAACCTCTTTTTTCTTCAATATTTAAAAATATTTATTTCCGTTTGATCCTTTTTTAAATCATTTGTTTCCTTTTCCTTCCATTTCTTCTTCCCCAACCCTAGTTGTTCTTTCCTTTTGAGTAGTTTCTTCCTATTTTACAGTATCTAATGTACATTTTGGACCTCATTTACTTTCATTTTCTCACATGTGACCCATTCATTTCATTTAAGAGTCTCAAGGTGCATCCATTTACCTAGAAATGTCTGAAGTTTATACTTTATGGATGAATAGTACTCTATCATATAAAAATCCTACATCTTTTTTATTCTTTCCTGGGTTGGTGGGCATTTGGGTTATTTCCAAGGTTTTAGTTATTACAAAATGTGCTGCTCTAAATGTGAGTGTGCCTGTACTACTGTGGTATGATGTTTCTAATTCCTGTGGGAAAATACCCAGAAGGGGAATAGCTGCCTCATATGGGACCTCTAATCCTAGTTTTCTGAGGAATATCCATAGTAGTTGCACCAGTGTATATTCCCACAAACAATACATGTTTTTCTTTATATCCACAACCTCACCAGTATTGTTTGATTTGTTGATAATAACCATTCTTTCTGGAGTGAGATAGAATCTCAGCATTGTTTTAATTAGGATTTCTCAAATGACCAGTGATATTGAACATATTTTTATTTATTTATTTGTTGCTTGTATTTCTTCCTCTGAGAAGTGTGTATTCATCTTAGATGCCCATTTTTGGGTTGGGCCTTTGAATTTGGGGCTCTGATTGTTTTCAGTCTCTATATGCTCTAGATGTAAGTCCTTTGTTGTATATTACATTTCTGTCTCAGTTACTTTTCACTCGGTGCTGTAACAAATACTTGACACTCAAAATGAAGGAAGGGAAGGCTTATTTGGCTCACAGTTTGTGAAGGTTTCAGTCTATACTTGGCAGGCTCCTGGGCAGAGTGGCACATGGCAGAGAGCAGCAGTTCATGGCAGCAGAAAACAGTGAAGAACAGAGAGCAAAGGGAGTGGCAGCAGCTCTGGCAGCTAGATCGCTTCTCTTCCCTCTTTACATTGTAATGCAGATTATCTGCCCTGGGTTGATTGAAGCATCTACATCCTCAATAATCAATCTCAAACTCCAGAAGCCACTCCATGACGGCATGGGGCCTTTGGGGGACACCTGTGCACAAACCACAACATTTTCTTTCCTATTTCTACCTTTTGAGAATGAATGAATTGTTTTGCAAAGATATTGTGGTTAAATAGATTTAAATGAGTTTCTCCTATCAGGTTTTAGTGTAGGTCTTGTTAATGACAGTTGATGAAAAAGTTGGCTAGTGAAGTTTTGGCTTTAGGAATTTATGTGCAGTTTCTTTCTTGGAATAGCTAAAATTTAGTGATTGTTTTTTGTAATGGAAAATGCATCTGAGTAAAATGAAAAGGTTTTTATCTTTTTTGTCTTTTAAAATACTGTTTATTTTAAATTATTTTTATTATTTTTTGTTGAATTCTTTGATAATATATCCAAATATGTACTTTTCTGGCACATTTTTTAAAGATCTTGAGGTATTCCACAGCAGCAAGAATTTAAAAGAAAAACTTTGAAAATTGTATGTTGTCTATATAGAGGAAGAATGTTTACCAACTGCTTTTGTTGTTTTGACTTAGTTTTAAAATATCATTTCAATTTCTCTTATTTTCCTGTCCTTTCATTGTGCTGTTTCTTTTTCCTATTGTTTTCATTGTATTATTCCTTAAGATTTTCTTTAACTTTTCTCTTTTTATCTTCTTCATTCATGTTTTCTCATTTACTCTTGAGTATTGCATGTTAGTAAATGTAGTTGACTTTTTAGCTTTGGTTAAATTTCTTCTATCTTCCTTTCAAGAACAATTTGTGAATATTTTTATGGTAAGAGGTAGAGGATAATGATGGTGTTAGCTAGTTAAAAAAAGAAGCTTACAAAGCTAATTTAATGTGTTGTATAATCAGCTTATAGTAACATTGCTGCATTTAAAGAGTATTTATAAAACAGGCAAAAACCAGGGCACTCTCTCTGTAGGATAATTGTTATGTGATTGAAGCAGAGTGAAAAGCCTACTACAGTTCATTTGAGTCCACAAAAGTTTGGAAAAGCCAGGGATGTAGGTCATAAGGAAAGTTGCAAGAAGGGAGCAAATTAGTCCTAAGAGAGAAGCCACGGGAGTTACCACCAAAAGTGCCATATAAGGAGTGGAGCCGTATAAGGCCTTTGGAGCCCGCAACTCATCACAGATTGCTTTAGATGTGCTACATGTAACTATAGGATTTAATGTTTGCCCTGCTATATTTTGGACTCGCTTTGGTCCCAATGCTTTGTATCCTCTTGTTTATATCTTTTGGAATGATACTGTTTTTCTTGTGCCATTGAATGTTGGAAGTGTTTAACTTTTCATTTGTACAAAGGCTAAAAGTTTACCTTAGATCTTGGAGGAGACTTGGGACTTAGACTTTCCAGCCATGCTGAAACTGTTAGGACTTTGGTAACTCTTAGAAATGCACTAAAATGCTTTTTACATAAAGGAATGTATATGGTTCTTGGTGGGGGGCAGGGGCAGAACATACGGTTTGTGTCTAGATGTCCCCACAAAGCCTCATGCAGTCATGGGGGAGGGAGTTTCAAGAGTTTGTGATTAATTATCATCCAATGCCGGGATTATGGATATGAGTGCTATACTCGACCTGGGGCATATACCCTGAATGCAGCATAAGACTTGCTGTCTGTTGCCTTTGTTGCTGCTAGTTCTTCCTTTGCTCTTTTCTGTTTTCTGCCACCATGAATGGTTCATTTTTGCCATGTGCCACTCTGCATTGGAGCCAGCCAACTATGGACTGAAACCTCCACATATAGTGAACTTCTTTGTCTTAGCAATGAGAGAAGAGTAACTGAGACAGTGATCTGTTATATTATTGAAAAATACCATCTTTGTGGTTTCTCTTAATACATGCATACTTCATTACAGAACTTCTTAGGTAAAAGTGTTTTTGGGCTGGATTTGCTACTTACTGTGTTACTTTGGCAAGTCTTTTTAACCCAAATAAACTTTATTTTCCTGTTTGCAGAGTGTGCTACATAGTGCCTGCCTTGTACATAAAGTTTGGTAGCATTTTAAGAGATAATTATTGGTAGACTTGCAGCTAATTGAACTCTTTTGTTCTATTTATAGGATATGTGCAGAGTCTGATTAGAAGAGTTGTAAATAATGTAAACATTGTTATAAATAATCTCATACTAAAATATGTTGAAGATGATATTGTCCTTTCAGTCAACATCACTTCTGCAGAATGCTATACAGTAGGTGAATTATGGGATCGTGCATTTATGGATATTTCTGGTAAGTAAATATCAAGAAAATGGTATATTTTTCCATCAATAAAATAATTGCCTTCATTTCATAATAGTTTTGGGGGCCATATGACCTTTTGATAATGCAATGCAAGCTTGATGCTTTTGTTGTTGAAAAAATGCACATGTACATGTAAAAACACATACTCAGCAGTTAGGTAGCCAGAGTTTGAATTAGAGTAACTGTTGACCCTTACTGTGCTTAAGTAGGGCCATGGAAATATTATCTGATAAGGGATATAAAAGACTTCATATAGTGTGTATGTAAGAGTAGCTTAGTAAATGTTAATTCTTGTTATTACAAATAATGGGAAGGAAGCACCAAGAGAATTTTAAAAGGTTAGTTTTATATTTAGTCTCTTCAGTATCATGTATTAATTTTTGTACACATACATAATACTGATAATTAAGTCATATACTCATAAAATTGAAATATAGTAAATTTACATAGTTTTTAACAGACAGATTTGAAATTTATCTAGTGGCAGAGCCTTTAGTATTTTGATGCATATGTATATTCCTTAAAATTTTCTTTCTGAAATACTTAAAATGAAGAGGTTGAATGAACTAGAATTTGTTAGGGTATAGTAAAAAATAGTTTTTTTCAGAGTAAACTGAATCACATTTTGTTGATTTGTAGATTCTCTTGGTCATAGCATGCAGGTAGATGGTAACTTAAAATCCCTGGCCTGATATTTACCTGGGAATTTCTTATTAGGTAGAAATAAAATGCTTGTATGGTAGAGATTTCTTTTTTTAGTTCAGTCTTTACCACCAGTTATTTTACCTTTATTCCTTTTCAAACAAACTTTAGAGTGGTGCTATAATTTTATTATTTATTTTGATACCAGTGCTGTACACTAGAACTTTCTGTGATGTTAGAAATGTTTCACATCTTTGCTGACTAGTTTTATAGCCATTAGCCACATATGATTGTTGAGCACTTGAAATGTGGTTAATGCGAGCAAAGACTTAGTTTATAAATATACTTTTAGTTAATTTAAATTTAAATAGCCACTCATGGATGGTGGCTACCATATTGAACAGTGTAGGTTTTGAGTACCAGCAAGGATTTAGCGGAAAATGAATATAACTAAGTGATGATTGTTGAAAAGCTATATTTAATATGGATTCTCAAGAATTTTATAACTTTTAAAACTTGCATCAATTTTGTTTTAAATTTGTAGTTAGGCATATTGGGGCAATCTACTGAGGCCTCTGAATTTTCATACATAAAATGGGGATAATGGTGCTTATTTAATATAAGATTTTGGGAATATTTAAATGTATAAAACATGAGAAGTTGTTTGTACAGGGTCTGGCATGTATTAATTTATGATCTAAATACACCTATGAGTGTAATTTTCTACTCTTTTTACTTTTGCTATTATATGTAGTAATAAGTGTTTACTTTATTCCTTTAACTTTGCCTTTTACTTAAAATGGTTTTTGTTTCTTTTTAGCAACTGATCTGGTGCTGAGAAAAGTTATCAATTTTTCTGACTGTACAGTTTGTCTTGATAAACGAAATGCCAGTGGTAAAATAGAATTTTACCAAGATCCTTTATTGTATAAATGTTCCTTCAGAACTCGTCTGCATTTTACATATGATAATCTAAATTCCAAGATGCCGTCTGTTATTAAAGTAGGTGTCTTTTTTTCTAGTAGTTAAGTTACGTATGTCTATTGTGTCTGTTCTTCTGTATTATTATTATTATTAAAGATTTAAGAAATTAACTTCATGCCATTAGTTTTTATACAGTTTTTTGTGTCTATACTTACATGTATAATTTTTTGTATAATGTTATAGTAGAGATATTTTTGGGGCAACTTTTTCTTTTCTGTAATTGATATTTTAAAGTTTGTCTAGTTGTTCCTTAGTGTTTCATGCTTTAAGTAGATAGAGTTCTTATTAAAAAGTAACATGAATTTGATCACCAGCACCACACATACACGTACTTTGGACATGTAAATTTGTATTCTCAGAATTGAATGGCCATGAGTTTTTATGAAAAGTGCCTTACCCTAATGTTTGTTGGTATGTGAGTTTTTACTCTGGTAATCATTATGTATCTTATTATGTTATTCTCAAATAAAATACATTTTTGAGTTTTCTGTTAATACTATTGTGATGTGATATTTGCTATATTGGGTTGGAACCAGCTTCTTCCAATTCTAGTTCTAGGAAATAAGTGTCAAATGGATATGACTAACTTCATTGATCACCTCATAGACATAAGGCTTCCCAAAATGTTTACATACCTTAAATATTTCGTTGAAGCCTTCATGTGTGTTTGTTGAGGTGGCATTTAAATGTATTTATATTTTGGGTAGGCTTTTAAAATTTTCTATCTTTTGTGTGAGCCAATGGCATTTATGAGAAATATAGGTACATAATTTACTGTTTTCTCTATTTTTTGAAATTATTTTGTATTTGTTTTTCACAGAAATGAAACTCTGCACGCAGATCTTTGGCCATAGCACTAGTTAATCCATTAGGAAAGATTTCTGTACAGCAGTTATAAATATCTTACTAATTCATAAAAATTTTGAAGACATGTAATCTGTATTGCAAAACTATTTGTAGAAATAGACCCATGAACATTAAGGGAGATGGCTATGTTACACATTTGTCATTTGTTAGTCCTGAATATGGTCTTAATATTTAAGAGAATTTCCAACTTGAACAAAGAATAACATACAATATAACTGAAATTTGTTTAAGGGAATTAGAGTTTTGAAGTTATGCTAACCATTTTATTTTTTTAGAAAAACTATCCACTCAGTGTCTTTGTCCATTTTTGTATTGAGGATTAATTTTTTAATTGATTTTTAAAATATTTTTTGTTATAAAGAGTAGATTCTTTGTTTTTCTCTAGTACTTTATATTATTTAAAAGGGTATGACAGAGAAGCCAAAGAAAGATTAACAGTTCTCCTTACTCTTCTGCCTCTCCCTATTTTTCTTACCTCTGCACAGTTTTTTCAGTGTGTGATCTTTAGGTCAGTTTTAAGAAACCTGCATTGGTATTTGAAATAATTGTGTTTTACCCTCTACTTGCAGTACACGTATTTCTGATCTTGTTAATACAACATTTTTGTGCCTTAAACCCTAAAAATATGACCACCTTTACTTCTTTTTCATGTTTCATAGACATTCAAATACAAGTTAGTCTAAACAAAGCTTCTAAGAGACTTGATTTTCTGACATAATTGGTTTTCTTCCATGTTTATATATAACAGCAGGAAACCTGTATTACACTGAAGCTGCATTTATATTTTATTGATGTCTCTTTTTAAGAACTTTGAATGCTGTATAACCTATTGGTAGTAATTAATATTTTTTTAATAATTGATTCATTTTTGAGTTTTATGTTCTTTCAATGTTGAAAATTTGAAAATTGTTTTGAATCTATAATTTACTTGATTTTCCATATTTAAAATAAAATTTTACATTTTCTTGTTATAATGTTAATCTTTCACCCATTTTGAACATTTGGTTTTAGTACACATATATATGCTTTTATCCTAATAGGAGTTATTAAAGTTTTATAAAAATGATGTAAAATGGGGCTGGGGAGATAGCTTAGTAGCTTAAATACTTGCCTGGCAAGCACAAGATCCTGAGTTCAATCCCTAGTACCAAAAAAACCCCAAAACAAAAAAAACCAAAACACTAACCAAAAAAAAAATAAACAAAAACAAACAAAAAAACCCAAAACCCCCCAAATCAAACAAAGACATACTTTTATTCTTGGATTTGACAGAAATTTTTTTTTTAGGGGGAACTACTATGATATGCTTTAGATATTTGTTTATGTAACTTTTCTTTTGGGATAGCTTCAGAAATCTAATGTGAGTGTATATTTTGATTATTCTATTTGTAAATTTAATGTGAATATATCTTCTAACTCTTGTTTTTATCTATATCACTTCCCCAATCTGGTTTCTGTGTAAAGTTTATTGGTCATTATAGCAAAATCTGTTTGATTCCTAAGACTTGAATTATATTGTGGTTGAATATTAGAAATATTTGGGATATTAGTGTTTTTTAACATATTGTTAAAAAGTTAATTTCAGTGATGTACTTTTTACATACATAATGATCACATTCATCATATGGGATATGTACCTGTACATAATATAGCCTGATTCTTTTTTTTTCCTCTGTTCTCCTTCCCTTTCTTCATGCTCTCTTCTCTTCATTATAAAAGCATAGTTTCCATTTTTTTTCCTTCTTGCCTTTCTTATTCCTCTTCCCATTTCAACATTTTTTTGTACTTCCCAGTATCTTTCTAAATAGTATTTTTTTTAGGACTTAAAATTTATCAACTTATCTTAAAAGTTCCAGGATTCCCTTTAAACATACTTTTGTGAATGTTTTTTTTTTTTTTTTTCCAACATACAGATTCATACCTTGGTGGAAAGTTTGAAACTTTCTATCACAGATCAACAGCTGCCTATGTTTATCCGAATAATGCAACTTGGAATTGCTCTTTACTATGGAGAAATAGGCAGTTTTAAAGATGGTGAAACAGAGGACCCTACCTGTCATAATAAAGATATGTTAGGAAACATTACAGGTAAGTATAACAAAAACTTCACTTAGAGCTGTTATTCTTGCAAAGTGTTTTCATCATTTGGGAACTAAGAAATACTCGAGATTGAGTTACGCAGTGATGAAATGATTGTATTTTGATTGAATGGCACAACTTTGATTTCTTTTTTATCTGCATGTAGTATGCTTTTTAAAAATTTTCTCTGTTGTACCTACTAAAAGTAACTAATATTTCTCAGTGGTATAATGTTCAGCATGTATATTTACTAAGAGTTAATACAACCTCAGTATTTACTAATGAATTAAAATATTGTAGTTTTTCTGCAAAGGTTTACCAGGAGTCTGTGTATTTAGCTAATTGGGTTTCTAAATACTATCGATTAGTGAAACATACAATTTAGTGATGGATACACAGTGGGTTAGTTCAGCACTCCAGTTCATTAAAGCTTTATTAAAGTTTGCTGTATATCTGACATGACCAATAGTAATATGGTAAAATATGGAGATAAATGAATATATTCTCTTCTTCCTTAGACTCTTCCAGTGGAGTGGATAGATGTGTGACTAGTTACTTTCATACAAATTATGGTAGAGTGGTAGAATATTTGATAAATGGAGATGTCAGTAATGTGAGAAAGATGGTGAGAGGAATGATTGATTGATTCTGTGACTCAGAAATTTTTAAAAAATACTTAAGAGCTTCAATGAATGAACGTTTAAAGTTGAACATGGTCACACACACCTAAAATCCCAGCATTTGAAAGTCTGAGGCAGGTAGATTGTCTCTAGTTTGAAGTCAGTTTGGGCTACATAGTGAGTTCAAGACCAGTCTTGGGACCGGCAAGATAGGTCAGCGGACTAAAGCACTTGCTTAGGCAAGCTTAGGCAAATGCAGGGACCATGGTTCAATCCCTAGCACCACATGCTGTGCCAGCCCTGTCCCCAGGGTGGGCTGAGCCAGCCAGAGTCCGGGCATAGTGGCACCTGCTTGTAATCCCAGCGCTGGGGATGCTGAAAAGGAGGATCACCATAAGGCCAACCTGCATAGTGAGGTCCTGCAACAACCAAATACATTAAAAAAAGAAAAAAGAAAGAAAAACCCATCTGGACTACAAATGGACAAATAAACATTTCTGCTAAGAAGATAATGATGAAAAACACATGAAAGCATAGTATATGCATTATTACTAGCCACTGCTTATTCAAATGCTATATTAGACTATGAATCAAAGCCACAGTGAGATACCATTTCATAGTCACCAGGATGATTGTAGTAAAAAAAAAAAAAACAAAATCTTGCTTGCTGTAATTTAATATGGTATAACCATTTGGAAAAGTCTGGTAGTTTTTAAAAAAGTGTCAGCATAGCTTTACCATGTGACAGCAATTCCTCTCCTAGGTATCCATCAAGATATTTAACATAGGTAGGGGGCCTGCCCATTAGCTCAGTTGTTTAAGCACTTGCTCATACAAATGTTGTGAGGTGCAGGATACCTTGGTTCGATCCCCGCCTCCACCTGCATTACCAGACCCACCTTTAAGGCAGCCTGAGCCAGCCCCCCCCCCCCCAAAAAAAAAAAAAAATCATTCTTAACTTTTGGGCCAGGGAGGTAGCTCAGTGACATAAACATCTGCCTGGCAAGTGCGAGGTCCCAAGTTGAATCCCTGGTACCACCACCAAAAAAAAAAAAGGAAAGATATTTAACATATGTAGACATAAAAATTTATACATGAAAGCCGTACATGGTTGTACATATGTGTAATCCCAGAACTCAGAGGCTGAGGCAGGAGGATTACCTAGAGTTCTAGGCTAGTCTGAACTGTATAGTGGAATGCTTCTTCAAAAATGACACAAAAATCTTACACAGGAATGTTTATGATAGCTTTTTTTAAAAAATGTATTTGGTACAGGGTCTACAGGGTCTCACTATGTAGAACGGACTTATAGTGATTCGCCTGTTTTCAGCCTCCCAACCACCTGGATTACAAGTGTGCACAACCACACCCAGTCTCACTGTCTCAGCACACCCCAGGGGCAGGGCTGGCACAGCACACCAGGGATCGAACCCTGGCCACTGCACTCTGAGTATCTTTGTTTTTGAGATGTAGGTTTTTGCTGTTGGATATTTAAACATAATTGGTGAAATGTTAAAATTTTTTTTGTACTTACTAAATATGTTTAAAATCAGTGCTTTTGATAAACTACAGCCCATGTAATGTTAACTCTAACTTGTGAAAAGAGACTTACATAGTATAACACACAGAACCTTTTTTTTTTGAAATCTTCAATATTTGAGATTTTATTGGTTGTGTTGAGGATCAGTACACGATTCACTTTGTACACAATTTTTAACACACATACCAAAAAAAGCCATGTATTGTTTTTCAGTTGTTCCAGTGAATTTCCAGCTTCAAATTTACAGGCAAATTTTCTGTAAGAGGATTAAGTACCAGTATCTTCAAATGCTGACAAAGTGTTATTTAAGTCCCACAATTCACAATTTTGTATCACATATACTACGTATTCAAATTTTTGATCTTTCACAGCACATTAACAAAATGAGGCAAACTGGACTACCACTACCAAAGATGTTACAGAGTGCACACGATTCTGACAGGGCAACAATTAGGATGTAGTTTTCTTTAGGATACAATTCTACCAAAAATCATGAGAATAGAAGTCATTTAAAGTATCCAAGACATATTAAATGCAGGACTGTAATTCCAAATTGCCATTTAGTATGCTTTGTATTGCAGGATATAAAACTAACTCTCACCTTTGGAATGTTAAGCTGACACCCAAGACAGTCAAAGCTTGCCATAATTCAATATCCCACTATTTCTGGTTGTACCAAAAAATAACCAGAGAATGATTTCACCCTAAAAAAATCATTTACACTTAAAAAATGCAATGAGGTGGGATTCCCTCCTTTTAAAAAATGTTTCTAGAGCTACTAAAACCTTACATTTACAAAATGGTTGATAAAAATATTCTTCTGGATTGTACAAGAAGGGAGACAGGGAGCTCTGATAAGACATGGTATGTGAGAATCAGACTTGGCTTCTTTCTCTTCTGCTTCATCAGAAGCTGCACTCCTCATTTTTAGTTTCTCCATTTTCCGCAGGTAAATCGTTCTTGGTTTCTTAATTAGCCATTTCAGCCCGTTTTCCCTTGGCTCCCCTTTTCCCTTTTGCTTGCACTTTTTTGTCCGAAGATTTATCCTTTCCTGCTGCCTTTTTTGGCTTCATTTCCACTTTAGCTGGAACAAGTTTAGCTGACCATCTCGCCAGTCTCCTCTTGGGCTCCTCCTTCGCCGCCCCTTCGGCCAAGCTGACCTTCCTCTTGGGCATCTTGGCAGTGGGGCTAGTGCGGAGGTTTCGGGTCGAGGAGGCCCACGGGAGCCTTGGGGAGCTACGTAGCTCAACCGCTGCTGCCTTTTCTCCTGCCGCCAGAGCTGGGATGGTGCGAGAACCGAATGGAACCGGATTGGGAGCCTGCCCCCCAATACACCGAACCTTTAAAGAACTATTAATTTCAAATAATGATGATAATCATTATATATACTTTGTTATACACTTGCTACTTTTAGGAGGAAGGTTGTAGGGGAAACACATTTTTCCTTTTTTGTTGTATTGAGTACAGTTGAAAAAAATCATTATGTATTTAAGAGGTACATCATTGTGTTCTTTTTGGGGTGTTTCAAAAAGAAATGTATATGTTTCAAAAAGAAATGTATAAATGATCCCATTTATTCTCATATTACTATAACATTTTAAAGGTATTTATAATCCTTCTCTTAGTTTAGTCCTTTTGATTTAATTAAAATTACTATGATTATTTTGATTAATAGGTGCTGAAGATGAAACAAGAATAGATATACAGTTCCCTGCTCAATACAAAGGCCAAGAGTTGTATTCACAGCAAGATGATGAGCAGCCACAGGGATGGGTGTCTTGGGCGTGGTCATTTGTGCCTGCGATTGTGAGTTACGATGATGGCGAAGAAGATTACCTTGCGGATGATCCTGCATCAACCCTGCATCAGCAGAAAGCACTAACTTTGAAGGATCCTATTGTTTCTGTAGGATTTTATTGCACAAAGGCAACTGTGACTTTTAAAGTAGGTTTTCTTTCTCTTGCTGTTAAATGTTAACTTTAAAACTTACATTCTGATTGCACGTACGATTGTAGCTTAAAAGATGATTTGTGTTCAGCAAAGATAAGATAGAGTGTAATAATTCTTCATAAAATTACAAGATGTCTCAAACTGAATTCTTTTTAGGTACTTACACTGCTGAACTATCTCTCCAGCCCTTTCTAACTGAATTCTTTTGAATTTTGACTCCTTCCAATCTCCTTTAGGCCATCTTCACTTTTCTTTTTCATTAGCTTTATGGACAGGTTTTTTTTTTCCTCTTTCTACTGAATTCCTGGCATATAAATATGCCTCTATTTCCATTAAAAGTGAACATCTAAGTAATTTACTTTCAAGTTATGTGTTTTTACAGCTTATAGTTGAATTTCTCTGATCTCCTTTATAACAGATTTTACACCCATTAATTGCACATATTAATAGCATTTATTGTGATATTTCCATACATTAGTACAGTGTACACTGAGGAAATTACCCTCCCATCTCTAATACTCACTATTCTGTCAGATTGACTTTTTGAGATTACATATACGGGAGTGAACATGTAGTACTTGTCTTTCTGTGGCTGGCTTATTTTACTTACTATGGTAAAGTTCCCCAGTTCAATCCATTTTGCTGCAAATGGCAAGATTTTTTTGGTAGTACCAGGGACCTTGTGCTTGCTAGGCAAGCACTTATTCCATGGCAGTATCTCCCCAGCCCAAAGATTTTGTTTTTTATGACTTAGTAATTCTCCATTGTGCATATATACTGTGTTTACCGTATTTATTCATCTGTTGATAGGCATCTAGGCTGACCCATCTGACCTATTATTAATTGAACAGTAATAAACATGAGGATATACATACTTCCTTGGTGTGATGATTTCACTTCTTTTGAACGGATACCAGAAGTGGCTTAGCTGGATTGTTTTACCCAGTGTTTTTTCTCCACATTCTCCCTAGCATTTCATAGTGAAGTTTCTTTAAAGAGTTTTGCAGTTTCTGGTTTTCTTTTCTCTCATTCTTTAAGATAGCCCAGTTTCTTCCATAGGTCCTCTTCTAATTCTATTTTTATCAGTATTTAACATATCCTGTTTCTGCTATGAAAAATGCATATAAGATATATATTCAAAATCTGGTATATTATGTGATTTGTTCAAAAGTAGTAAGGCGAACAAGAACTATTAGGTTGCTAGTACTTTTGGCACCCCTTACATATTCTTCTTTGGTGGAGTTTTGACTTCTGTAATGCTCAGATATAACCCAGCATGAATTTTGGGTTCTTTGTTCCCTGGCTTTTTATAGTGCTATTGTCACACATGCACAACGTCATGAATAATTTTTAATTCATGTAGCAAATATTTATGAATGCCAGCTGTATTCCAGGTACTGTTTTTGTCTGTAGAGAAATGATAGTAAACAGATATGAATCCTTACCACTTTGAATTTATGTTATTAATACAAAAGACAAGGTGTATAATATGTTCATTGATCTAACAGTTTCATATATTATAAAACAAGGAAGAAGAATGTTACTAAATGGTAGAGATTGTGCAGTTTTTAAAATAAGATGATCAATGAATGTCTTACTGAGAATGAGATATATTACTGTGAAGGGTATATGCAGAAACTTGTGATAGGAAGCCATGTAGACAACTGTAGGAATGAACACTTCAGGAGTAGAAAAATGGATATTTAAAACTTCAAGGAACAACGAAGAAGTTAGCAAGTTTGGAACAAAATGGCCTAATGAATAAAAGGCATGTTATCAGATCAGAGAGATAACTGGGACTTGGGACAGTGTAAGAAAATTGGTTTGGAATAGTGTAAGAGATTTAAAAAACTGTGCAAGTCATTTTGGGCACGATTTCCTTCCTTTTTTTTTCCTCATTCCCTTCCTTTTTCTTCCTCTGTTTCTTCTTGGTACTGGGGATCAATTGAAGTCTTCATATAAACCTACATTTCCAGCCTTTTTAAGATTTTTTTTTTTTTTTTTTTAATTTGAGACAAAGTTTCACTCAGTTGGCCAGGTGAGGCTTAGAATCATGCTACAGCCTCTCAGAGCTGGGATCACAGGCATGTGAGCACATCCAGCCTAGACTATTTTATGTGAGATAGCAAGTTTTGAAGACGTCATCATATAAGAAGAATTAAATAGGGATTTAAATTATCTTTTAAATTGAATTAATTTTTGTTGAACAAAGTTATAGGAGAGCAAAAGTAGAAGAAAATCAGACAGGATTGTAATCTTAAAGGAAGAGATAATGGCCTAGTCTAGGACTGAGGCATGTCTAGATAATGAAAAATTATTAGTATTTGAATGTATATTCAACGTCAAGTATATAAGATTTCCTGATGGATTTTATGAAATAATGAAATCAAGGGGGTCCAGATTGGCTTTTGAGCAACTGGAAAGGTTGAGTTGTGCATTTTTGAGACAGAAGCTGAAATAAATAGTTTTGAGATAAAGATCAGGAACTTTGTATTGAGTAAGTTTAATATTCCCATTGTATACCCATTGGGACATGGATATGTGAATTTGGAGTTCAGACTACACATTTTATCTAAGTTAGAAGTATGACAGTTATTAAGACTGGAATTGTGTAAATAGAAAAAAGGGGAGGTTCTAAGATGGCACTCTGGGCTATGGTGGTGGTGAAAGGTTGGAATGAGAATCAGCAAATAATCGGAGAATAGAGATTATTAATATAGTCAGAAAATCAAGAGAATGTTTGTCTGGAAATCAAGTGTCATAAATGTTTTAAAAGGGAAGGAGGATGCTATTTTTGAGATTAAATCTTTCAGTTTAGCAGTATAGAAATTAATCTTTAAAAATTTGGTAATGTTAACTAGAACAATGATGTAACACTAGTTGAATCATAGTTGGAATAACAAATGGGAGGACAGCTATGCGAATGAAATGACACATCTGCTATGGACTGATAGTTTCTCAAAAAGTGAAACAGAATTACTATATAATTTAATAACTTTAATAGGTAATACCCCAAAGCTTTTAAAACTGATAATCAGTTACAATGGCTACAAACCAGAAATAGTTAAACAGTTGAGAGAGAAATAGTTAAAATGGTTACCAATGAATAAATGAATGAATGAACAATTTGTGATGCATATGTATGATGGAGTATTATTTATCTATAAGAGACATGCAATTCTAATATATGCTAAGCACTTGAAAAATTTTGGGAAGTGAAATAAACAAGGCACAAAAGGACAAATATTATATCATTCTACTTATATCCAAAACTTAGAATAGGATAACTTACAGTACAGAAAATAGAATAGAGGTTACCAGAGGCTTGGAGATTGGGGAGTGGATTTAGTGCCTGACAGCTGCAGAGCTTCTGCTTGTGATGATGTGAAAGTTTAAATAGATAGTGGGTATCATTTACATGATTTAGTTAGTTATAGTTTGAAAGATAATTAAAATGGTAAATTTTGTACATTTTTTTTCACATCAAAATGTGGGAATAGAGGAATTGATGACATAGAAAACTCTTTAAAGTTTTTTTTAATTTTTATTCTATTATTAAGGGAGGCAGAGGAGTGGGGAGACCAGTAATCCATTGTGGAAGTGGCATTTCAAGCTTTTTGTTTTAACCAGATTGGAATTAATATGTCATACTTATTTGGTGATGTGAGTGATGTAGGGAGGAGAAAATTGATGATGTAGGCAACATAGAATGAATTGTTGGACTAAGGTTCTTGAGTAGAAGAGTGAGGAGTCTGATGGTTGCTTCTGGTAGGACAAGATTATTGATCGGTGACATCAGGAGAGAAAATCTGTGAGGTTATGTATGTAGTAAGTAAATAAGGTATTTGAGCCTTTTGGAAATTTTCTTCAAATTGTTTGTATTTTTTGAGGAGTTCTCAGAGTAAAAATGAGGGAGAAAAATGAAGATTTGAGGAAAGAGGAATAAAATTATCTCAGGGAGAATGAGGAGAAATAGTTTGAGTATACTGTATATATTTGCTAGAAATGCTAAAGCCTCCAGGACAAAAACGTGTGCAAGAATTTGTAAAGGCAACAGCCATTGAGGTTGTATGTTTTCCTTTGGCCATATTGTACTGTAGTACCTGAGTAAAAATGAATGGTGAAGATGGAATAGAGGATGAGATAATTGCAGCGGAGGAGGAAAAGAAATGGAGAGACAGAGTTTAGGAATGACCATCTAAGCAGATATTGAAATCCGCTGAGAGCATTTGACAGTGGCAGTGTAGGAGAGACAGAATCTAAGACCAAAATTTTCATAGAGTGAGCAGGATTACTTGGGGGTGGATTTTGACCTGCTCCGTTTCCGACCTGGGCTGGTTCACCCCTCCTTAGGCAACCTGGTGGTCCCCCGCTCACGGGAGGTCACCATATTGATGCCGAACTTAGTGCGGACACCCGATCAGCATAGCGCACTGCAGCCCAGAACTCCTGGACTCAAGCGATCCTCCCACCTCAGCCTCCCGAGTAGCTGGGACTACAGGCGTGTGCCACCGTGCCCGGCTTGGGGGTGGATTTTATGACAGCGGCAAGGAGGGTGATTCATGTTACCTGGTCTATTTTTTTTTGTTATGTTTTAGAAAGTGCTGATATAAACATGTAAAACATATATAAACTGTTTGAATGAATACAGTTATTTCTTTAAAGGTTTTGCTTTTTTGGTTTTCTTCCTTAGCATGTGTTTTTTTCAGTCTTATTACTCCTTTTCTTTGGTGTGATCCTTGAATGTTGGTAGTCTGATTTGATGAGACCTTAAGATGCCATGGTCTCTTCTGCTACTGTAGGGAATATGAATACTGATAGAGCTTGGTGTAAACTGTTGTAATATGTGATATAGGTCCATTTGATTATCCTAATCCACCACTCGTGAACTATAGGGAATTTAATGACTACATGAAAGTTTGAATATTTTGGGAGAGTGGGAAATAAAAGGATGCTGGCTGATTAGTCTTAGCATCTCTGAATAAACTAGTGTAGAAAAATAATGAGCTCAAAACATCCATAAGTATCTAAATTCTTGTAATTGTAAGGACAAATTAAAGGAAAATAAGGAGCTCAAAGATTCAAATTCCCAGCTACACACACACACACACACACACACACACACACACACACACACACAATGTAAAAGTTTCTTGGTGTGTCTTTAAAACTTTGTTAAAAAATTCATTCATTCATTTAATAAATACAGGGTATCGCTATGCAGCTCAGACTCATAGTGATACTCCTATCTCAGCTTCCCCAGTGCTGGGGTTATAGGCATGTACCACCGTGTCCGCTTTTTGTGGCCAGCATGGTGCTCCCAGGGTTCTGGGACCATGAAGTACCAGGGATCAAACTCAGGACCTTGAGCTTGCCAGGCAGGCACTTACACCACCGAGCTATCTCCCCAGCCCTCTTAGTATGTCTTGAAAGATTTCTTTTCCTTTAGTTGCAGGACTGAGATTACAGAAATCCAAAGACAGGCCCTCATAATTGGATTTGCAGAAATACATCGCAAATTTAATGTGTGTCTCAGAGTATGTGAAGTATAGGTGCGGGTTCTGATGGAAAAGGAGTAGCATACTGTAAATTGGGATGGAGAGGTTTTGGAAGATCTTGAGGAGATGTTGAGCTCTTAGAATGAGATTAACATCTTTTCTACTTGCTTGTTCCAAAGGTATAATTTAACTATTGCGTAGATGCTAATAGAGTGCCAAGTTAATTTGTGCCTCCAACTCATTGCTGTACTTGGCCTTTCAAGTTCAATTCTTTTGTGTCCTCACTTGTATATCTAATTATTATTTATCGCTTACAAAACCAGATCTTCCCTGCAGTTCTCCTTTTCTCCACTGTTTTACATTTCATTGAGTTAATAGTATTCCATTCAATTGCCAAGCATTTGAGTACCTTTTTCTCTTCTACCACCAATCCAGTGAATTGCCATATTCTGCCAGCTACAGTCATTTCTGATAAGCTTTAATGAGTACTATCCATAAATCAGGAGTTCTTAAACTTTTGATTTCAGGATTTTAGGGTACTTTATTTTTAAGAAAATTTGTAAGTGATGAGAAGGATTACGAGTAAAGTCTTCTGGTGATGTTTGTTTATTTACTTTTAAATTCAAAATTATTTTCATATACTTACTAATTTATTGTTGAGGATTGTATTAAACTAAGTCAGAATACGCATTTATATATGTAAAGCTTTCATCAGTATTTGTTATTAGTCACTGTGTCTTTTAAAATTTTCAAAGCATTTATGTTTCTTGAAACTCTTAAGGAAAATATGTTGATATTTAGAGGGAAAACATTAGAATTCATTATTGAGCTTGGACATGAATAATGTATGGAATTAATTTGCGGTTCCTATTCTGCTTAGAAAATAGGTCATGTTTCTACATTAGCATTTTGAACAGTTGATATCAGTCCAACAAAAATCATGCCAAATTAGATGTAGCATTTTTCTAATAATGTTTAAAATTGTTCTTGTAATGTTTCAGTCCTTTTAATCAGTTAATTGGTTTTTCTTGACAGTAATTGTAGACAGCTGATGGGTGATCAAGTTTAAAAAATTCAGTTTTAAGCTTATAGAATTGTACTTTAAAACCACAGCTTTGAGTTTTCCATTACTAAAATATCCAAGAGATAGGGGTTTATAATATGTGAAAAATATAATACATCAAAATTGAGATAAACACATAGTCTGTAGGCTTAAAATTGTGTTTTCAGCATAGCAAGTTTTATTTGGCTTATTTTACTTTTAAAAAAATGTTATCTTTGACTTTGTGTTTGAATTTGTAAAATGTTACATATCCATTTCACAGAAAAAGGGTAACTGAAACATAGGTAAACCTAGGCAGAATACCCAGAAAACTTTTTATGTTAGAATAATTTTAGAATTAAAAGTCACCAAGAATAAAAATAGTTTACTTACATTTTTGCAGAAGGGTTTTTTTTTGTTTTTTTTTTTTTTTTGCGACTCCCCATTGACCTGTAGCAGCGCTGGTCTGGGTTGCCTTGAGTATGTGGGAATGGAAACACTTCTCAAAGAGACTGACTGCCTCCTTTAAGCAGGCACTTAAACAACTGAGCTAATGGGCGGGTCCCCTACTTACATTTTTTTAACCCATTTTCTACTACTTTTTTTTTGCTGTCTTACACTCACAGTACATTTGTCAAAACTAAGAATTCTAGTTTGATGCATTGCTCTTAAGTTTTAGAGTTTCTTACTGTTATTTTTATCTGCCATAATCCAAACTGAACTGTCGTATTACATTAAGAAAAGTACATTTAAACAATAATTTAAATTTTCTAATTTTTATTATATATTAATAATGTATTTTAAGCTCCATCGGAGAGAAACAGTTTCTTTTGTCAGCATTTGGTTATCATTTGTTATCTAGCTGATACTCAATAAATAATTGTCTGAAAAAAAATTGTTTCATGACTGCGTCTATGAGATAATGGTATGAGGCATACTTTGACAGTGAACGCTCATAATCCTACCTCCCTCATAGTGACTACAAAGTTCCGTTACATCTGAGTTTCTTCACAGCTTTATTAGATAAGTGAAAAATTTTGGAAATCATTGAACTAAATATGGCTGTATATATTGGTGAAAATAAAATAAACAAGTTATAATATACATACATTTTTGGTAGAATATATGAACTGTTTTATGAGTGGGACTGTTTCTGCATAGTTTTAGTTTTTAAAGCAGTATTAAGGAATCCAAAAAAGTGGAATTTAAGTAAGTTCAGAGTAGCATTGTCAACTTTTATTCATAGATAATCTGTTACATCTGTTTTTGTTGTACCTGTTTTCCTGCTTATTAAATTTCCTGAATCTTAAAATTGACCTTATTTTCATCAGTTCATCATAATGCTGACAATTTATTGTCATTTAATGCTAATTTTGATTTACTTAATGTTCTTTTCTTAGCTCACTGAAATGCAAGCTGAGAGTAGTTATTATAGTCCTCAAAAAGTAAAGTCTAAAGAAGTGTTATGCTGGGAACAAGAAGGAACTACAATTGAGGTAATCTTTTAGCATTGAACATATTTTTAAAAATCTTGTTCTTAAGGGCTGTCCAGATAGCTCAGCAGACTAAAGCACTTGCTTAGAAAGAGTGCAGCAGCCTGGGTTCAATCTTATGGTGTGCAGTGCTGCCCCTCCCTGGGGCGCACTGAGATGGTGATTGAGACTGGGCATGGTAGTGCATGCCTATAATCCCAGCCCTTGGGAAGCTGAACACAGGCGGATTACTAGGAGTTTGATCTAGGTAGTGAGACCCTGTAGACCCCATTTTAAGTACCAAAAAAAAAAAAAAAAAAAAATTCTTGTTCTTAGAGTTAATATTGATAGCTAATAAGACATTTATCATAGTATATTTTTAACTGTATAATAGCAGTTTTATGTTTCAATTTTACTAGTCAGTAGTATTCAAGTAATTATTCTTTGATATTTTACTGTAATATGCAACATGAATTAATTCTTTACAGTTCCATTAACTTGTCCATATATAGGGGATGTATATGTGTGTTAATGTTAATGAAGCACCTGTCACTTGAGGATAAAAGCGTTTGAGGATACAGAAGCAAAAGATTCTTTACTTTAACAAGGGCTGGCCAGATAGCTCAGTGGATTAAACCCCTGCTTAGGCAGATGCAGGGGCCGGAGGTTCCCTCCCTGGCCTGCCATGCTGGCCCTGCCCCTGGGGCACAGTGAGATCGCAATTGAGAAGGCATGGTGGCGTGCACCTGTAATCCCAGCACTTGGGTTTTCAAATGAGAGGATCACTACAAGTCTGACTTGTGTAGTGAGACCCTGTAGACCCTGTACTAAATACATTTGAAATACTTTAACAGAGTTTATGATTTAAGGAAAATAAATTTAGGAAAGCCATAATCCTAAAGATGTTTGACTAATTTAAGAGTTACAAGGAAAGCCTGAAGATTTGTATTAAATTTGTATTAAATTCCAATTCTTAATTTTAATGTTTCCCTTCCCTTCTCATAGGCCCTTATGATGGGAGAGCCTTTCTTTGACTGCCAGATTGGGTTTGTAGGTTGCAGAGCCATGTGTTTTAAAGGAATTATGGGTGTTAAAGATTTTGAAGAGAATATGAATAGAAGTGAAACTGTAAGTCAAAAATTCCCTTTCTTTCTTGGATAGGATGCAGGGATATTGAAGTGCTTAACTTTATAAAATTTGCTAGGTTACATGTGTCTGTGGCTTGAGAGAGGAGATTTAACATTTTCTTGTGCGTTTTCCCCTAAAGTTATAGAACTCAAGGGAATTTAAAAAGTTGAAAGCACTTAACACCTGGATAGTAGCTCAAAATATTTTCCAATTTATAAATGACTCTTTTTTTTTTTTTTTTTTTTCTTGTTTATAGTAGCTACTTGGAGTTCCCTTTTGGTCTTTTAAAATGTTCTTTGGCAAAGTAGGCAGTGGAAATGGAGACAGCATTCTTTATCTTTTATAGTAACTCAAGTTTTAGTAATTTCTGTTAACTATTGAATGGATATTAATAAGATCACTGTTTTATTTTCTTTAGGAGTCAGTGAGTTTTTCTCCTGTTCAGTAATTGTATGTTTGTTTTCAGGAAGCCTGTTTTTTCATCTGTGGTGAGAATTTAAGTACCAAAGGTTTGACTTACCTTACAAATTCATTGTTTGATTATAGAAGCCCAGAAAATAATGGTACTCGTGCAGAATTTATCTTGGATGCAGCTCATCATAAGGTCAGAGACTATATTTTTGAGATCAATTCTAGACTTTCATAGGTTGGACACATTGTGTGAATATTTGTGATTGCCATCTTCTCAAATATTTTCTGAATAAAAATTGTTTGCTGAAATATGTAGAATGGTTTTTCCCAGCTTGTATACCTAAGCAGGCTTCATGAATGCACAGTAGCTTTATGTAGTATATGACCATAGTTTACTTACACATGTCCTATTGTTAGAATATTCATGGAAGAAACACATAGAATTTTCTTTATCAATTTTCATTGCCTATAGAGTGTGGAACTTAAAAAAAAATGTGGAACTTATAAGTGTGTTTCAGTTTTCACTATGTGTTTTAGTTTTATTTGAACTTTCCATTTAAGAGCATATTAATATGTTGATAGACTATTATTCAATTTATAACAAAATTTAGGTTACCTAAAGATTACTAGAATTACATTTTAACCTTTTCACTAAAGCTTACTCTTGCAGATTGACTATTTACCTGTATAATTAACATTCATTTAGAATATTGTAATGTATCTTTAGACTTTGAATTGTTTCCTACTTGAGAACTACCTCTGGGAATGTACATTTTAGACAGTTTTATGATAATGATAAAAGGTTAAGTATACTATGTACTCCATTATAGGTATTCATTAACTAGACATTATTGATAAAGTGATCAAAATGTCCAGTAGAATTATGCATGCCCTTTATGTAGTCAGCAGAGATAATACTACCTTTCTTAGAGGTAATTCTTTGGATAACCTCTGTTCCTTAGTTTTGGTAATCCTTTGAGTTGATACAGTTTGTGTAGGGATGAGTGTCTTATTTTTGAGGTTTTATACTCAAAAGTTTCTTCTGTATAATGTTCTGTTTGTATTGCTTTGTTGGCAGGAGACATACACAGAGATAGCTGGAATGCAAAGGTTTGGGGCTTTTTACATGGATTACCTGTATACAATGGAGAATACTAGTGGCAAAGGTATTAGTTTCATTTTGTTTTGCTTGACTTACTGTGAGCAACAGGTACAAAGGCATCTTCAGAATCAGATGGCTCTGATTGTACTTGCATCTTGACTGATTGTACTATCCAATGTTAGATTCACTTTCTGGTATTTTAGGGAATGGTTTAATTTTAATGTAATATTAGAATTTTTTGAGATTTTTTGCATTTTAATTTTTTAAAAATACAAGTGATTTGAAAGGACGATTTTGTATAATTAACCAGAATTAGTTCTTATATGCTAAATATTAAAATTTTGAACATCAGAACTAAAAATATTTTAAGTTACCAAAAAGAATAAGCAGAAGTACACCTGCCTGCGCATACCTATAAAAAATTAAGATTAAGCAATATTCAGAAAATTAAATACTAATTAAAAATTAAATGTTTCAAAACAATTGAACTAAGAAAAGGTTTTCATGATAGCAAAGAAGTACTAAGAGTAAAACATAAGATAAATACTGGAATGATAAGTAAATGACCAGCACTTCTAACAGTTTGAGGATAGGATATCGCACAAAGTTCTAGTGTGTTGTGGACATGCATAATGACCGTGACAGTTACTGGTGGCTAGGCGTC